TCCTGCATAACAAGTTACTTCCAAAGTAGGGTAACTTGACTTCATAGCAGGGTAACCTGAGGTAAAATGCTGGGTAACTCTGGTCTAAAGGTAGAGTAACAGCACTTTTGGTTACCCTATAGAGTAGGGTAACTCTATCTGAACTTATGGTCAGACAAACAATTCAGTGTAACTTCTAAATTGACTACTTGGATTACCCTACCCTGTAAGGTAACTGTAACCGGTATGGGTACTCGGTTATTGGTTTTGTTTTAAGTATTATTTGATACTTGGTTTTGTTTTATGTTTTGTTTTAAGTATTGCCTTGATACTTGGTTTGTTTTAAGTATCGTTTGATACTTGGTTTTGTTTGATGTTTTGTTTTAAGTATCGCTTTGATACTTGGTTTGTTTTAAGTATCGTTTAATACTTGGTTTTGTTTTATGTTTTGTTTTAAGTATCACTTTGATACTTAAGGAGTTTTACCAAGGTGCATCGATTGATACCTTTGATTAGTTTTGTTCATGCTAGACATGAACAGATTTGTGTATTTAAAGACCGCCTGTTTCTATGATAGAAAAGGCAGACTTCGACAGACAGTATTTCAATATACTTGATTGAACAGTTACTTCTTTGTTCCTCAGTACACCCTCAAAGACTCCTTCAGTTCTCAGCTCTCGCCTCCTCTCCAGAAGAGCAGGCCACCTGCCAACTATCATATCCTTTACCGATAATGTGATTAGCAACTTGCGAACACATTACAGTAACTACTGCTCCTTATTAGTACCTAAGTACTTCTAGTATGACATATCATGTCCAACTAAAATACCTAACCAACAGTACCTCTACTCAGCAGACTCTAGTCTCCAACCATTCCTACCTCAGTAGTCTCTTGATACTAGTATGGAGTTGGTTTCGTTAACTGTAATTGTACTCCATGGAGTCTCATTACACTTATTCATAAATTCTTTTAGTAACAGAAATAGTTGTTTTAGCAACCGCAGACTCAATACAGGTTTCCTCAATTAACTATCTTTTAATCTACTCTATTATTTGTCCTCTGATCTAAGAGTTTTCTAATTTTTTACTTATTATTATTATCTGATTCTAATGAATTTGCTCTTCTATTTTATTCCTCTTTCTTGTATTTGTAATTCTGTCAACTATTAAAGAAATTTAGTGCAATATAATAGTTACTAAGACCCAGTGATCACATTATGGCTTTCTATAGTACTTTCTCATACTAATTATTTCTTTCATTAATTTCTATTTATTTTATCTACCTTTTTGTTCTTCTTATTTTTTTCTATTCCTTATTCTTCTTTTTCTTAGTTTATTTAAACATGTATAAGGTCCAGTTTTTTGTCCAGTTCTAGTAATACTGGTTGCCTTATTCCTGTATTCTTTTTATGGCACAAATCACTGTCTTGGCAATATGAGGCTCCTGGCAGTTTTTATCAACCATCTACCAGTCTGTTTCCACAACTACTATACAATAAAAAAGTATTTTTCTATTTCTCCTGCCTATTTTTTATTTCATGCCTCTAATTTTATAGTACTATTTTTATCTGTATTTCTTTCTTTCAGGTTTTGTCATTAGTGAAGAAAATTTGTTATAGTGTGGTGGTTGCCAAGATCAACTGATCAGATTTGATCGTGACGTTTTTGAGATTAGAGCCGGACATTTTTCCTGATTAGATCGAACGACACTTTAGCATCGCACTTGAGTAAGAGGTGATGATATGGCACTACAAGGGCAAATGAACGAGTGAGTGAGCGAGCAACTGAGCTGACATGACATGACAAGTCAATCGGTCACCGGTAGTTTATGAATTAGGAAGTTGAAAGAGGTAGGAATTCGTGACCCTCACTACCCCTCTCCCCGTTTAAAGAGCATTGCCGTTCTGATACACGGCACTTTGAAAGAACAGGTTTGCCATCCTGACTGACTGTCTGACCGCTCCAGCAATCGGACACAGGTACAGTACGACCAAGGATTAGCCGAAGGGCGAAAAAAGAAAGATGTTCCCGCCCATCTCGTTTTGGACCTACCGACCTGTTGTTAGACGCTGTTGTAGCTATCGAGGATCCCTTGCCCTACTTACCATGCGCTCTTGGAAGGAAGGGAGGGAGTGAGGGGGTGGGGAGAAAGGGAAGATGGGGGTAAAAGTGAGACGAGAACCAGAGTACTCGAGTACCGGTATAGTATCAGATGTGAGTACGAGTACTCGTGGCGAGATTATGTTGTGGGACAGTGAGATGCAACCAGCCACACCATCGCGAAAATCCCAAAATCTCACCTCCATCCACTCCAAACTGTGTCTGGGTCGCGGCCAAAGTGACGGCTCCTAGCACCAGATCTCGTGCTCCCAAGCAAAGCGAGGGCCATAAAAACACAGAGCTTTGTTCTGTGTTGTGGTTGTGATTGTCGCAATAATTGAACATTGCTGGTTGCATCCCGGGCTCACAACTTGTCTAATCCTGTGAACAAAATACATCGGGAACAAGGGAAGAAAAAAATGGGAGAAAAATCAAGTGCGGTACGATGTGCAGTACCGGTACCGGTATTCGAACAAATTATCGATTTTTGCACAGTAAATCACTCACCTCGTTTACCCTGACCCATCCATCCCTGCTAGAAGTCCTTTGGGGCAAGAAGTAGATGACAGCACAAGACAAGGCAGACAGACAGACAGACAGAAACAGATCGATCTCGATAAGAATCGCCGAATCCGGAGTGCCAAGAGGGGCGTGCCCTAGCCCTATGGAACTACGGCAGGGTATCTTGGGTACAGTACCCGTGCTCCTACGATACGGTACCGGTACTTGTATCATGCCCAACCTCACACCCTGGTTCAGGAGCGGTGACACAAAATGCCATAGCCCTGTAGACGAAACGAAACAAGGCGACTCCGGATCCGCAAGAGGGTGGGGGTGTTGGTATGATACCGGTAGGGTACTTCGGTTGGTAAGTTGCTCGTGCGTTCAGCGTGACCGTGGCGGTAGCGGCTGTACGAGTACCGTACTTGTGCTAGTACTCGAGTAGTGGGGATGTGTGCGGCGGGGTGAAAGTTATTCTACGTGATGTATGTGATGCGATCTGGTGCGATTACGTTTGGAGTATCGTACCTTGATCGCCGGAACGCGCAGAAAGGGGGGCGCTGGCGATGGCGAGCGGAGAAGTGGGTATGGATGGATAAGTTGGGGTTTTCTTTCTTTCTTGGAAATCGGATTTCGGAATTGAAATGAGAGGGGGAGGTGGATGGGGAACGTCGTGGAGAACTGGTATCAGGCTGCAGAGTATCGTAAAACACGACGTGGGAGGAGAGGAAAGAATGGTAGAGAATGGTAGAGAATGGGTTAGGTAAATTAATAGACCGGAGGGAAGGGACTGAGGGAGTGAGGAGTAGGAGGAGGAGGAGGAGGAGGAGGAGGAGGAGGAGGAGGGAGAGGGGGCCGGGTGGGTTCTAGGTCGAATATTATGTTTCTTGTAACTCGACCATTTATTTATATTTTCTCTTCTAGCATATTTAATATGGGTTGTCCCGGCAGCAGTATTGTACAGTACTCGTATTGTACTCGTACAGCACTGTTCCTCCTACGCATTCTCTTGCACGGTAAAGCAGTCTTTGTGATGTGATACCAGATTCCGAGATAACTTATAATACTATTGTACGTACAGGGCGATACGATGCGAGTGGCCATGAGGCTCTGGATCCTCCACTATAGCGTCCTACATACCTATACAGTAACAACTACCGATACTCCTAGCGATCAATAAGGGCGATCAATAAGGGTTATGATCGCTGTATGGTCCCGGGTCAACACTCCTTGCTTAGTAGATAGAGACGGGGGAAGAAGGATGGTATCATACACATAGCATGATGGCGAGGTTGGGAGAGGGTTGGTTGGAGTAATTTTTTGTGCGGGGCAGAGTAGGAATGTATATACTCGAGTACGAGTGCTCTTGCTTGTGAATTTACTCTAACTTTACCCATTTCCTGACTTGTTCTTCACTTGCATTGAGGAGGGGGTACAGTAAGAACTATCATACTAAGAAGGGGGACAGGGGGGAAGGGAAGAAGAGTACTGGTATCACACAGTCAGGGTCTTTTTGAAAGGATCTACCGTGCTGGATAGGAAAACCGTGGATAGTGAGCTGGTACCGTACGACCGTATGCCGTGTGTAGTTGTTTAATGTGAGTAAAGATTAGGTTTTTGTGGGCAGTCTAATAACTCGTATCATAGGTAGTCCCTGTGTATGATCACAGTATTGGTGCATGAGTAAATCGTGTGGGGGATCCCTCTGGGATGCTCATACAGGGGATGCAGTGACTTTATTGTTTTCTTTTATCTCCTTCACGAGTAGATTCTATACTTGTATCAGTCTAAGTTGCAAGGAGATTTACTCGAGTACTGTACGAGTACAGTAGCGTCAATGGTTACGGGTATGATGGGCGGTGATGATGCTTATGGGACGGGGTCAACTTTTTCAATTATTATCCTTCTTAACTCCATATGGTTTGGGTCGGGGTCACGTCGCTTGCTCGTATTTTCTAGACTGAGTCTTTGGGTGGTGGTGCTGCTAGGGTGACTTCTGGCTTGGTTAGGTTTTGGGTGGTTGATAATGGTGATCTGTTCGTCAATCCGTGCCAATGTCAATATCAATATTCTCGTGTTCCTGGGCAGTGGGGGCAGATGGTGATCGTCGCGGTAGGTGTTGTTGCATTGCTGGTCAGGGTAGATGTGAGTCTGGGTCAAAAGTTGTGAATCTTAACTTAGTTTCGTGGTGTGGAACTTGTTGTTTGTGAAGTGGTGTGCTACCCGTAGACGATGCCTCGATTCCCCCGCCCCCGGCGCCCCCGCAAAATGGCTCCCACTCTCTCACTCTCTCCTCACATTCACTCACACTCACAGCTTTCCCCTTGGGCATTCACCAGTGTCCCTTTCGACCTCCCATCTCCCCTCCCCCTCCCCCCTCCCCCTTCTCTCTCTCCCTTCATTCATCCATCAATCATCAAGCAAAACCCTTTCACGGTACACTTTTTCCAGCTTAGACGATAAAGAGTCTTTTCTCTCTCTCTCTTTTACTTCTTTTTTTAAAAAAGGGGGGGGCGCGGTGTATCGAAAAAGAAGATAGACGAAGACGAGTAAAGTGGTGTCTGAGATTTTGCTGTGTGGAAGTCGCTGGAAGTGGAAAGGCTGTCTGTCTACTCGTAACGGTGGTCTGGTCTCGTTCTAGTTTCTTGAGGCGTGGTGGGTGGTGTGTGCGTGCTCCTGATTGCCCTGCTGGACCTCTCTACCCAACTCCTCCTCTCGAACGAATACTCCGATCCTCCTCTCTCGGCCTCTTTAATTTCTGCCATAACTCTGCCTCCCTCTTCTGGTTTACCTCTTCCTACGCTTTTTCGCATTTTCTTTCCACTCCAGCCCCCCCCCTTCCCCTTCCTCCTCCTCCTTCCCCCTCCCTTGCCGAACTCCCTTCCCCCTCCCCTTTGCACAAACCCGACATGCTGAACTCATCCAAGACATGTAACAATGACATGCTGTTTACGCCGTGGCCGTTCGACCCGCACTCAGGGCCCGCCCCGCACGATCTCCCCGGTGACGACAACCAAGGGCTTGGGGACCTGCTGAGCGCGAGCGGAGTTCCTAACCTTAAGTCGGAACAATATCCTGCCTTCATGAACAGCATCTTCGCACCAGATCTATACTTCTCTTCCATCGACTTTGCCTTCCCGGGTGATTTGACCGCAGGACAAGCGAACTATATAGATGAGCGACATTTCCCTTGCGAATACGACGGTTTCGCCAACATGGACCCATCAAATCTTGCCAGGCTCGAAGATTGTATCACGAATGTCGAGAACAACATTGATATTTACCAGGAGTTGTTACGGTTGGATACTACCCTTCCTATCTTCGATCAATCTGCTCCTTGGGACCAACCGGGAGCGTGGCAGCCTACTTCCGCCACTTCCTCTTGCTCCTCATCCAGTACCTTAGATGCCTCGGCTGGATTTCACACTCCAAGCTCATCCCCTGCTGGTGACCATGAGGAATCACCCGATTATCAACAGAACCAGAGGAAAAATGTATTATATCCCCCCTTGTCCTTATGTTGTATTGTTGCTTCTATCTACCTATTCACATACCCCCCCTCTTTTTCTTCCCTTCGTCTTCCCTAATCCTATCCCTCCCACGCTCTCAATCAAGTCATTTCGACCAAAACACTCTGAAGAAATCAAACGAAAACCATGAAATCGTGTCCCTAACAATTGTCTTTTTTCCGATTGAAATAGAGCTCCTCAGAGAGTAGTGATGGTGAACCTCGAAACAACAACTCCTGCAAGAAGAAGAGGCAACGAAAGCGATTCACTCCGGAGCGGAAGAAGGAGACGCACATGACTAGAATAACGGGTGCTTGCTTACCGTGTTGGAAAAACAAAAAAAGGGTACTGACCCCTTCAATTCCCGTTATCTTTTGATCCCCTTTAATGAGTTGAACCTCGGAATCAAGAGATGAAGAGAGATGTGAAGGAAGAGAGAGAAAAAAGACTAACGTGCGTGGCTTCAGTGCATAAGAGTGTCAGAAGCTTGCTGCAAGTACTGTGAATCAATCTTCTCCAAGATACCCAACATCCCATGCTTCCGTGCCCGTATGACAGAATCCGAATTATTCCGGCGAGGTAATTTCTTGTCCAATCCCCACCTTAATCTTTGCCTTAACCTCACCTTACCTTAACCTGCATCTCGCCTACCCAACCCTGACCTGCTGCTACCCTGCCTATTACGTCAGTCCTTCATCCGATATATATACATGTATACTAACACAATGCTGTACTATAGGTCCGACCGAAGAGTTTCTATGGACTCGTCGACGATGGTTGAAGGCCTCACCGAATGATAGGACTGTATGGGCTTCGCCGGCGAAGGGATTTACGGTTACTCAAGGGATGGGACTCACGTTGAATCTTATGGCGAAACAGTATAAGCCCCTGCCTGATGATAGAGACAATTATACATGGATCGGTCAGAACGGTGAGATGGCAGCATTGGCTTGTCCGCCCTATGCGATATCCGATATCGACGATGCTCAGAGGACTATCAATCGATATGTGGATGATAATACTGTCAGGTACATTCAGGAACATGTTAGTTCGAACGTGATACTGTGGGAGTCTTTCTCCATGGCATTACGAATGAGTAATGCTAAGGGTGTATGTTGACCCTATCTGTGATTACCCGTCCAAAGCTGACCGAAGATAGTCATCACTGCTTCGCAATGCCCTGAAGTTGTGGGTTGGCAGTCGTATCATCGAAACGCCGTGGTCGATAACTGGAAATGAAACTTTTGGTATGACAACTAATATGGAGGAGGGAAGTCCTTATTATGGCAAGATCCCGGTGACTCCGATAATGGACTTCCAGATCGATAATATTACCATCCATCAACTGCTCATCCCGCTGCGCAAGAAGCTATTGCAGGAATTGCAGCGAAAGGTGCTTAATAACAAGCCGGAGGATTTCTTGGAGATTTACTTGACGATATTCATACTCCTGCACAACATGGAGTTGACAATCGCGCATGATAGGTGGTTCGCCATGCGGTACAGTCTTCAGAATCGTTTCTCAAATTATCACCTAATCGACGCCGTTTTCCAAGGAGCAAACATCCTCTTGGCACATTTCCACCACGTGAGCAAGGGCTACGCACCGTTCTCGATTGACTGGGAATCAGGAGAAACAATTGTCCTAGCTAAGTCCAACGAGGAAGAGATCCGCTACATGAAGGATGTTATCCAAGCGACCAAGCATCAAGGTATCTCATATCCCGTCATATTTTACATTGTACCATATCCATCACATAGGACCCTGGCTCGTTATCCCCCACTCCACTTTTGTCCTGAAGAATAACAACTAACCAGCGCACGAGTGAATAGAAAGTGGATTGAAAATGCTACGCGAAAAAGAAATATACGAGGACAGCATGTATTGGTGTTCCCAACTATTTTTTCCTGGTTGGAAGCCGGTTAATGCGCCGACACCCTAACCGCCGCTCGTTCTTCATGTTGCAAGGAACGACGTGAATGTGCGCCAGAGGCACGGATTTCGGGGCATCGCTACTCGTAGCTCTGTCTGGGGGTGGTCGTGGCGGTTTATGATGTGGTCGTTGTGGATGTGGTGGTGGTGGACTTGATTGATTTCGATTGGGTGCTTATTATGGAGTGGTGTATGGGTGTGTGGGGTGGGTGCGGCTGTGACCAAAGGTGGGAGGGGCTGGATGGATGGATGATGGGCTGGTGCGATTGTGGTTATCAGCGAGGGGTGCTTCTACCTGCATTTTGGTATGGGTGGTTTCGGTACTTGTTAGAAAACGGGTAGATGGAGTTGGTGTATTTTATATTTTCTGGAGCAGCGGGCGGTGCTTTTCTTTTCTTTTCTTCTTTTCTTTTCCGTCTTACTGCTTCTTTTGGTTACTATTCTTATGTCTATTTTTTTCCCTCTTATTCCTGTTTCTCATGCTTGCATTTGTTCGAAACCCTTTCTTTATTATCTTTATTTTTTATTATTGTCTCCCTTCCGTTTTTTCTTCTTTGAATTGGGATTGATTTTGGGGCCGAATGGGGCTTATTCCTTCTGTCGTTTTCCTATTTCGTGCTTACTTTTTCCTCGTTTTCGCTTCTATTTTCCATCTTTATTCGTGCAGCCTTTATTTCGATCACTGCTGGCATGCGTGAAACGGAAGTATTTGGTTTTTACTTGTTTTGATTCTATTTTTTCCCCCTTCCTTTTACTTTCTGATATTCTTTTCTTTTCTTTCTGTTAACTGGAGCGAGGGCGTTCTTTCATCCCCGTTTTCTTTTTTTATCATTATCATCATTATCATCCTCTTTAGTCGCGGAGCAGACGGATTGGCAGAAGGACGGAAGGGCAAAAAGGAAACAAGCAAATTTAAAATTTACTACTTATTTATTCGTCATGGTTAACTTTGTTGGAATCTTCATTCTTGAATTGGTAGGACTAGCCGATGCCAGTTACATGGAATAAGAGGCTTTTTGTCCAGAGTATCTACTGTATCATATTATCTATATATTATAGTAATAAAATAAAATCAATGTACTATGTTAGAAAAATATTTCATCAATAGAAAAAAGAACAAGGAGTTCATCTATTATAAGATTCTTGGTATATAAATATAGATATTTTAAGAGCATGAGAATATACAAAAATTATACTCGTTGTAATAAATATTCTACTTTAAGTTATATCATAAGTAAATTAATATAATGTAGAATACTATAGCTGTAGAGAATATAGAAAGGATTTTTTTTTAAATTATTATCAGGATTATTAATAGCCATATTTAAAGAGTTATCTAATTTTTAAATATGTTAATTCTTATAATTAAAAGAAATATAATATTTGAAAATATATTTAACTTAAGCAATTATTAGAAGTAAAAAGAAAGTATTCAGAAAAATAAAATTAAGTATGATAGTAGTAAGAAAGAACACCTAAAATTGAGTAGTCTGGAAGTCCTTTACTGTTAAAAGTATTTATTCTATTTTTTAATTCTATATAATATGCCATTTAATATTAGAGTAATCTTATTTACTTATAATATATTATTTCTAATGTATATAATTTCAAGTCTAAAAATTTTCTAGTATTATGTTTTTTTAAATAAGATAATTATAGCTGAAATATTATAAAATACTTATAGGTTTTTTAATATAATGAATTATTTTAGTATCAGAATTAAATAACTAAAGTATAGTAGATAAGATATAAGACTTGTAATAGAACTAGAAATACATTAGCAAAAGAAAGTAACCTTGTATCTTGAATATGAGTTTGTAATAAAAGGTATCTGAGATGAATTACAAGTAAATTTAGCATATCCTATTACCTAGTTAGAAAGTTTTATAAAGAGATTAGTATATAATATAAAACAAATAATTTATATTAAATATTTGGTCAATAGATAATTATTTTGTCCACTTTTCAGGATTCAATATGGGATAGTTATTTTATTTAAATTGTGAAAGAGTATAATAGTATCAGTCAGATAATCTTAAGATATACTTTAAAAATCTAGGATATACAGAAAAATATTAATACAAACTTGAATTCAGAATACTAGTAATCATTCATGATATAAATGTTTTAACAAAGTAAATACAGGTCTGTAGATATACTTCTAGAAGTATTAAATAGTAGACAACTCTTATAAAAATCAAGATGAGCTACAGTCTAGAATCTTTAATAAGTAGAAGTTTATCCAAAAAGGCTTACTGATTCTTTTTGTTTATAACTAAGAACTTGTAAGAAATAAAGATTTGGTTTTAAGAATAAAATATTCTTGTCAAGAACTTGATATACTGTTAAGATCTTTTCTTAATTGATAATATCTAAAAGCTAAAGAGGTATCTTAATATTTATATCCTATGTCTAAGTGTTTGTAGACTACTTCCATTTATCATATTACTAAAATACTTTTCCTTATTTATATACTAATATTAAGAGTTCTTAGAAAGTATAAATATCCTGAAACTCTCAAAACTTGTTAGGAGTACTAGGATCCGATACCTAGGAACAACCGTAATTAGAATAACTCCACTCAGAATTGGAATCTCTAGTCGCAAATACCCCCCTTCAGCCTCCTTATAGGACCCACATGTCATCATACATATCGATCTTAGTTGTGTCCTGTGAGTATAATACTACAGAATTGACTGTGTAAGAATAATACTGTATACATTACTACCGTCTATTAGACCAGAACCTATTCATATGATATATAAGTGGGGACCTTTAACTAGGTCTAGGAAGTAGAATGGAGTAATTCTATCAACTATTCAGAGGATTACAAGGCTTCAAACATGGGACATCCTTGGTATAGGCTGTAAGTAATAGGACATTTTCGCACAGTGATATGATATTAAATATTAGTGGATCTCTATAAAAGAGCTAAGACATTCTCATCCACCCTACAATAATTAGAAGAGTTTAAAACTCCTAGGAAGCACTAACGAAGAATCCCATAGACTTCTCGGAGTGTTGCAACTTGGTTAAGGAATGCGTTATGGTTCGGACGTTCTTTACTGCTCTAGGGACCCCCCCCTACATTCGGAC